TTTTTTCCCGTCTTTTAAATTACTATTTGAAGATACGCTCCTCTTATCCCTTGTGCTACAGACTCGGAGATTTCCAAACCCTAACCCTAGCCTTAGATTTCCAGATCCATCGTCGCTCAGTTCTTAGGTATCATTTCCACTCAAATTCTTACTAGATCATCTCTTGTTGTTGTCATTTCTACTGAATTTTTCTGTTATCGGTTGAGTTACGAGCTCGAAAACCCTAAACTTCATATAGTTTCCAGCGCTTTTTGTTCTCGATGGGTATATGCATACATTTTCCGCTGAATCTAGAGGTTCTGATCTGATTTTGTTTGATTTATTCAGTATGGGAGACACTAGAGACAACGAAGCCTACGAGGAGGAACTTTTGGACTACGAGGAAGAAGACGAGAAAGTCCCCGATTCTGCTGGAAACAAAGCCAATGGCGAGAATGGCAAAAAGTTAGTGGTTTTTATCTTTAAATATGTTTGTAAAGAAATTAGGTTATTTAGATTCGACATTGTTGCAATATTTTCGCATGTAAACAGCACAAATGTCCATCATTTGTTTTCATCTTAAGTTAAGTAGTTAGGCAATTTGTTAGTTCTTCTATGGGAAAGTATATGGTGTAGAAGTGTGATTTGTGGTAATTCTTATTGGAACTCTTTAGCCTTTTCTGATTGCTTTTACTTCTTTTACGCAGAGGTTATGTGGGAATACACAGTTCAGGATTCAGAGACTTCCTTTTAAAACCTGAGCTTCTCCGAGCTATTGTTGACTCAGGGTTTGAACATCCTTCTGAAGGTAAGAATATCTCTCTCCTCACCATATTTCTTTCTTTTTGTGTTCTTTCAGAGAAGTTTGTTAGGGATGGACTTGAGTTGATATGTAAATGTGTGCATCTGAGTCGACTCGTGGGCATAATTCTCTGTGATATGATTTATAGATATTTTTGGGTAATCTACTGCTGAGAAGAATTGGTGCTGTGGGAAAGAATATATTGTGTTATTTCTTGTTGACTCTGAGTCACCTCACTAAGATCGAAACAATTTGTGGAATTAAATTTTGTTTTTATTTTTAGGGCTATACTTTCTATTTTCTCTTATCATTTCTTTTTTGTTCTTTTTACCTATTGACTTTATTCTGAATTTACTGTTTTCAGGTAAAAATCTATTTCAAAATATTGATTTGGAGCCAACTTGCCGTTTGGTAAACCCATCCATTTAAAGGACAGGGACGGTATAGTTTACTCATAAAGGGTTGCTTCGGTGCAATTTTCTTTGATTCTCCTTCAGTGCAACATGAATGCATCCCTCAAGCTATCCTGGGAATGGATGTTATTTGTCAAGCTAAATCTGGTATGGGAAAGACTGCGGTATTTGTTCTCTCTACTCTTCAGCAGATAGAACCATCCCCTGGTCAGGTTGCTGCCCTTGTTCTGTGTCATACGAGGGAGTTAGCTTACCAGGTTTGTTGTTACCCCTTAATCTACGTTCTTAAGTTGTGTTGGGTGTGTTGCATGTCGCCCGGTTATCTTACCCTTTTTTTATGTACTTCAAAATTTTTACAGATCTGCCATGAGTTTGAGCGGTTC